AGAACTTGAAAAATTGGAAAAACAGCCTAGTGAAAAGCGTTTACAGTTTAAAAGCAAATAGAAAGTCCTATTTTTTATTTTCTTTCTTTATATTTTTTGCAGATTTGCACATGTACAAGTTTTAAAATGAAATATTAAAAAAAAAATATTGACATTATTCCTCTAGGTCAAAAATGAAAATGGGATTTACAATAAAAAGTCATTTACAAAATTATTATGACTTGTTTATTAATGAGTAACATCTCTTTTGAGTGAATGTGCAAATTTTTAATGTTAACAGGTTTTACCATGTTATTACAACATTTAACCACTTTTTATTAATTTAAAAATTGAGAAATTATTTCAAATTTAAATCTTGTACAAGAACTACAGCAAAAAACAGTTTGATGTGTATTTTATCAATATTTTAGAAATTGTATTTGAATATTACCAGTACTGACTTCAATGGATTTCATTAAATTCCTTAGAACACAACTGCTCAAAACAGTCTAAATTTATGAAACCTACACATTCAAAACATAATTACTCTGAAATTTTTAATGTAAAGGTAAATGAAAGTGAAAATGTAAGTGAAATGTTAAGTAGTGTAAGGTCTTTCATGACACTACATATGCTGGGGTGTGAATTGGATAGGTGCTTGATATAAAATAAATGGTGCTTTAAAAAGTCCTTGAATCTGGTGTTCATGAAAGAGTGGGAAACCTGTCATACTTTTTTTTTTTTTTTAGAGAGGAGTGTCTGAAGAACAAATAATGTTGAAACTTTAAAATGTAGTTTGTTTTCCTCTATTATAAAAGTTGCATAAAACAGACCTTTCTGCGTGCCATAAATATTATTTTAGCCTTTTAGCAATTCTTCTCCCCGAGTTACCATCTTCCGCCATTTTGGAGAGTACCCCAGAATGTAATCAACGTAATGTGCGCGCTTTCGCTGAACGTAATCAGGGTTGTTTACGTTCAGTAGACAGCGCGCGCATGCTGAACGTAAACAACGCTCATTACGTTGATTACGTTCTCAGGTACTCTCCAAAAAGGCGGAAGACGGTAACTCGGGGAGAAGAACTGCTGAATGAATTGTTGGCGTGCCATAAATATTATTTTAGCCTTTTAGCAATTCTTCTCCCCGAGTTACCATCTTCCGCCATTTTGGAGAGTACCCCAGAATGTAATCAACGTAATGTGCGCGCTTTCGCTGAACGTAATCAGGGTTGTTTACGTTCAGTAGACAGCGCGCGCAAACGTAATCAGGGTTGTTTACGTTACGTTCAGCGAAAGCGCGCACATTACGTTGATTACATTCTGGGGTACTCTCCAAAATGGCGGAAGATGGTAACTCGGGGAGAAGAACTGCTGAATGAATTGTTGTTATTGTTTTCTTTGCACACAAAAAGTATTCTCGTAGCTTTGTAAAATTACGGTTGAACCCCAGATGTCACATGGACTATTTTACCGATGTCTGTGCGTTGATCATGGTAATATCATTGCTGTCTATGGAGGGTCAGAGCTGTCAGATTCCATCAAAAATATCTTAATTTGTGTTCAGAAGATGAACGAAGGTCTTACGGGTTTGGAACGACATGAGGGTAATAAATGACTCTGTTTTAATCATTCTCGAGGACTTTAATAAAGCAAATCTTTCCCGTGAACTGCCAAAATACAGACAAAATGTTACATGTCCCACCAGAGACCGTAATATACTGGACCATTGTTACTCCACAATAAAGGATGCATATCGCTTTTTCCCCAGAGCAGCTGTAGGACTCTCTGACCACTGCCTGGTTCATCTTATACTGACTTACAGGCATAAACTTAAATCTGCTAAACCTGTAGTAAAGTCTGTAAAGAGATGGACCAACGAAACAGAGCAGGCATTACAAGCCTGTTTCGACTGCACTGATTGGAGTGTTTTTGAAGCTGCCACCAACGATCTGGACGAGCTCACGGAATCTATAACATCATAACATCTGTGAAGACATGTGCATCCCTACCAGGACTCATTTAACATTCAACAATGATAAGCCATGGGTTACAGCAAAACTTTGTCATCTTCGTGGGGGACAGAGTCATGTACAATCAGGCCAGAAACACACTGAATAAGGAGATTAGAGTGGCCAAGAGGAACTAAAGCTAGAACACCAGATTTCTGCCAATGACCCTGCATCAGTGTGGGAAGGCCTGAAAGACATCACCAACTACAAGACACCATCCCCCAGCACTGAGG